CTGACTGTATATATTTATATATTAATACTGGCTCTATGAACGATCACTGTGTATATAGACAATGGCGAAATATATGCACTAAACAAACAAAATATTTCTGTGAAAATCTGAACAATAACATCTAAAAACCCTAGAAATTTTGGAAAGTCAAAATAACTTACAAACTCCCAATCCACTCCCAACTCTCCACTGTCAAAATGGACAACCAAATCCTGCAACTTCCCTAAGAAGTAGCAAATTATTTTTAATTATTTTGTCAGATGCTCCACCACCCTGATTGCTGAGATAATACATGACACGCATCCTGAAACTACAAATGTGGATCAGGCCCCACTAAATTTGCAGAGACCCAAAAGAGACAAGTTCAATTTTAGACCTGTATCTATTAATGTCATTAAGAAACACCTTAATAATCTAAAAATGAAAAAACAATCTGGACCTGATCAAATCCTAGCAATGCTGTTGAAGCTCAGTGCTCCGGCAATTGCTAAACCTGTCACAACCCTAATTAACGAACCCTTGATGTCTGGATACATACCCAAACTTTGGAACACTGCAAGAGTAGTGCCTATCTATAAAAGCGGTAAAATTACTTTGGTTTCTATGGCCCAATATCATTGCTCCCAGTATTGTCAAAAATCTTAGAAAAATGCATCCATAAGCAACTATGTGAGTATTACTAACAATCTAACTATCTGACCCTTGATCAATCAGGTTTTCGCCCGAATCACTCTACTACAACTGCCCTCTTAAAAGTTTGCAATGACATCCAAACTGGCATGTAACAAGGAGACATAACTGGAGCTATTTTCCTTGATTTCGCAAAGGCCTTTGACACAGTGGACCATGACATTCTACTGCACAAACTAAAAAACTCAGGAATTGGTGATCGTCCGCTAACCTGGTTTTGATCACATGTATCGGATCGATCAAAATATGTGTCCATTTCTGACAGCGACTCCCTCCCTCTCCCAGTCACATGTGGTGTTTCCCAAGGTTCCATTCTCGGCCCCCTACTATTAAAATTGTTTATAAATGATCTGCCTAATGTCTGCAATCCTCAAATGTACACATGTACGCAGACGACACAGTAATCTATGCAAGCAAATCCGATCAACCGCAGCTTGAGGCTGTGCTCCAAGACCAGTTCAGAGAGGAAGAAAAGTGGATCGCAAAAAACAAACTCTTCCTAAACACTGACAGAACTGTCACAATGATCTTTGGAACAGTACCTATATTACACAAATTACAAAATTCCCATCTATGCATCAAAACAAAATCAAATAGCACACTGACTACAGTCCACTCTTTCAAATTCTTGGGTATGTTGTTAGATCCCAATCTATCTTTTGGCCCCCACATAGAAAAACTTGCATCTAAACTTTATCCCAAATTAGGTGCCCTGTATAGAAACAAATCCTGCCTAAGCCCTACAGTAAAGGAAAAGATTTACAGCAAATGCTGATGCCAATCATTGATTATGGGAATGTAGTATATGCACCTGCTCCGCAAACACACCTTAATAAACATAATACATTGTATAACTCATTCTGCCAATTTGTGCTACAATGTAATTACAGGACCCACCATTGTGACATGCTAAAAGAACTAAACTGGCTGTCGCTGGAATCCAGAGGCACCCTTCACCTTTCCAGCCTTGTGTTTAAGAACTTTTCTGGGAAGCTCCCACCCTTCCTATGCAGGATACTCTCCCCAGCTGTTCCCACCTCCTATAACCTCCGATTCAGTACCAGCGCTTTATTTAGTCTACCTCAATACAAAAAGAAAGCAGCCCGATCCTTCTTTTCCTACAGAGCACCACAATTATTGAACAACCTCCCGCACACTTTGAAATCTTCCCCAAGCCTAAAGTCCTTTAAGAGATCCCTCTCTACATATCTCTAAACAGAATGTATCTGTCATGGTTGATTACATATTTCCTACCTGTTCTAGGTTAAATTTTGTATATATTGTGCATTAATATTGTTTTTGTACCCTATCGTATCAATGCAATGTTTTGTGGACCAGGGACATACTTGAAAACAAGAGAAATCTCAATGTATCCTTCCTGGTAAAATATTTTATAAATAAATACATATATATTTTTTTTTGTTAATATATGATCATTTAGTTATGCTGAAATATTGTTTTATATATATATATATATATATATATATATATATATATATATATCCCCTGGTGCCATATTCAATTTTTTAATTACTTTATGAAGGTCCCAGGCCACCCTTAACCAAGTCCCTCTCTGATGCTGTTCACCTTAGCCCAAACAGCGGTGGCTGGCTATGGTAGGCTATGACCTTCAGTTGAGCATTTCTGCCCATTGTTGTTATGGCATGAGTAAAGTGAAATCACAATTCTTTAACCGTTTTTCCAGTTAGGGCAGACATACGGGTGTCTGAACCCCCTTAGTGTCAATAAATAAACTGAATAGTCATGTGGCTTCAGGGGACTCCAGGCACAACTACTTTCCTTAGATGAAGTGGTTATGATGCCCAGCAGGTCACTGTAATAGTGAATGAAAATAAGCAATGCAGTTGATAATCTTTTAAATGATAAGTTTAGCAATATTAAAGGAACATTAACCTGTTAGGAACAAAAAGTGTATTCCCAATCCTTTGGTGTCCCTGTCCCTAATAATGCCCCCCAACCCACCTCCCCCCTTCCAGTTAAGCGTAAAAATGAAGAAAAAAATGTTTTACTCACTTTTTTCAATTGCTGAGATTTCCTTGGCATTGCTTACCTCTCCTCTTCCCACTGCATCATCGAAGAGGCATGGTCTCCTTCAGAATAGGTCCAATCCAATGCTACTCATGCGTGCTGCATGCAATGCAGCATTAAATTTTCCCATCGGAAAGGACCAAATTGATTCTCTCCTAGAGGTCTGTAGTCATGTAACCAAGTTTTACTTAATTAATGCAGAAAAAAACTCCTCTGGTGGCTGTCAGTATGACTGCTACTGGAGGTGTGCTTAAACCTGCAATGTAAACATTAATTTTTTTTTATTTTATTTTTTAACTACAATATTTTACATAGCAGGGATAAACTTGCAGGACCACTACACCCAGTCCACTTTATTGAGATGAAGTGGCTAGTTAACTTAAGTGGTCCTTTAAAAATGGAAACAATGTAACAAATAATAGTAATATAATAGTTATCTGAATATTTCTTGCTATAATCCCTTAATTTGTGGGGGAGTTGTTTTCTTTTTATCTTTGGGGGGGAAATATTATAGTTGTTTTTAGTATTATAGTTATTTGTTATGGGAAAACTGTGACTGGCACTTTGCTTGATAATCATGTATATTTATACACAGACTGCCTTAAAGGAACACTATAGTCACCTAAATTACTTTAGCTAAATAAAGCAGTTTTAGTGTATAGATCATTCCCCTGCAATTTCACTGCTCAATTCACTGTCATTTAGGAGTCAAATATTTTTGTTTCTGTTTATGCAGCCCTAGCCACACCTCCCCTGGCTATGATTGACAGAGCCTGCATGAAAAAAAAAATGGTTTCACTTTCAAACAGATGTAATTTACCTTAAAGAATTGTATCTCAATCTCTAAATTGAACTTTAATCACATACAGGAGGCTCTTGCAGGGTCTAGCAAGCTATTAACATAGCAGGGGATAAGAAAATCTGAATTAAACAGAACTTGCAATAAAGAAAGCCTAAATAGGGCTCTCTTTACAGGAAGTGTTTATGGAAGACTGCGCAAGTCACATGCAGGGAGGTGTGACTGGGGTTCATAAACAAAGGGATTTAACTCCTAAATGGCAGAGGATTGAGCAGTGAGGCTGCAGGGGCATGTTTTATACACCAAAACTGCTTCATTAAGCTAAAGTTGTTCAGGTGACTATAGTGTCCCTTTAAATAACAACCCTGTTCACACTTCTAGGTTATACCATCTTCAAAGCTAGGCCATATCTTGTTCACACTGCACAAATATTTTTTTAGAGACTTTTTGGTGCACATATATAAATTTGTGCTATTTGAAAAGGTACTCTCATTCATTTTATTCTACTGTCACAACTCCATTTAATTCCCCTTATACTAATACTAACATTTATGAAAGACATAGTTTAGCTCTCTTGTCCTGTACACATTGAGCAATTCAACTATCATTTTTACATACTGCAGTGTATGTATGCTGGATTTAGCCAGAGGTAATTTTCCAAAAGTACTAATTAAGAGTAATCTTCAAAGTGAGAGAGAGTTTGTTTTCCATAAAGTTAATTGTAACTCCATGTTACGTCTGCTGCTTAGTTAAATATATGATGTTTAATTCAAATGCAAAGTTCTCAAAGGGCACATAAGACATGCAAGGATCTAAAGAAAATACATTGCTTTGAATTGAGTTGTAAGGATGACTGCTATTTTTCCTGCAGCAAGAGATAATAAAAATGAAGAAACTATTGGGGTAATTTCACTTTGCAGAGAGTTATACTGACCTGATAGCTAACTAATATAACTATGACCAATAAGTCAATTTTCAGCTTACCACACTTAAAAGGCCAAGCAAAATCCAGTCACAAGCATTTATATTAATATTTTTTATTTTTTTAAATCAAGTTCTTGTGTTTAAATCTGGTCATTTTTGGATGTTTCAATATGTAGGGAAATTCGGCTGAAAATACCATACTTAATGAATATTTGAATGTAAGTAATTGTATAGGTTGTTTCCAAACCAGCAACCAATGCATGTTGTTTGCTTAGTTATTTGGTGCATTTAGTGTTTATTATGTTACAGTATTAAAGCCATTGTTTCATCATTATTATTTTTAATACTTCTCTAAATTAAAAATGTTATTCTATTATACATGTTTTCTGCTGATATTCTTTCATATTCCACAAACTGATATTTGTTATAAAGTATATTGATACATATATAGGCTTTACTAACTAAAGTGCACACTAATAGAAACATAGAAACATAGAATGTGACGGCAGATAAGAACCATTCGGCCCATCTAGCCTACCATTTCTCCCTCCCCACACCCTTCTTGAAATATATATTTTCTCTCTCCATTAGACTTGTTCATTCAGTTTCAAACAATTTTTGAATTGCCCAAATTTGGACAAATCACAAATTGTTTGAAACTGAATGAACAAGTCTAATGGAGAGAGAAAATATATATTTCAAGAAGGGTGTGGGGAGGGAGAAATGGTAGGCTAGATGGGCCGAATGGTTCTTATCTGCCGTCACATTCTATGTTTCTATGTTTCTATGGTAAATATGCTACATTTAACTCCTTATTAACCCCTTAAGGACACAGCGTCAGAAGCTTGTCTTACGCTTAATGACATGAGCAATTTTTGCATTTTCTTGCTGTTTGCGTTCAACTCCAATTTGCATCTCACTTGTTTATTGCACCAACACATTTTATATACTGTTTTAAAGGACAAAAAGGGCTTTAATTTGATGTAACATATATATATAAATGCTTATTTATTATAAAAAAATACAGAAAAATGCAAAAAAAAAAGAAAAATTTTGTGTGTTTTTTTTACAGTTTTTGCAATAATAATGTGTGCATAATTAGTGCAGGTTAAAGAAAGTAATTAAAAATAAATAAATTTAGTTGTTCTGATTTACAGAATATATAATGTGTCTGGGATTTTATTTATTTTTTTGGTAGTTACAAGTCACAAAGCACAGGGAGTAAATTAAACTTTTAATGTGGAGCGATTTTAGAATTTGGTATGTTTGTCTTGTAAGCTTAATAGCCATAAAAGAAAACAAAATTGCCACACAAAAGTATATATTTATATAAAGTAGACATCACAGGCTATTGTCCTAAGGTTGTTTTGACACTTTCTATGTAGCCATTTCACTGCCAATCTCTGTTAACTATTGGAGTAAAATTACATGATTTTTCTATTTCATGACGAAAAGTCATGATTTTATGAAAGACACGGAGGCGAGCATTGCTTAACCCTTTCTTTACTGTCAACCAATAGCAGCAAAGAATACAAACAGTAAGAAAAAACTGTAACCATAGTGATAGACCACTCCCATACCAAGTCCCAGTATAATAGTCAGCACCTCCCCACACAATTCCTTTTTCTTTGGAGATGCAACACCAAACCAGCCAACAGGAACCGAGGAACAGTCCAGAACAAAGAAGGACAAAACGTCCCGAAGTCCAGCCGGATACTTGTCAGGAACCATCTGTGAACTGGAACTAAACCAACAATAAGTGACGAAGTGTCAACGATAGGGAGTCCATCACAGCACTATCCACAGATCTCCAGCTAACGTGGTGAAGTCTTGGGAAGAAGTGAGGATCTCTATACAGCACCAACAGTGCAGAATCAACCTGTGAAAACTGAAGAACAGGAGCCCAAACGTTAAATCGGTTCTTAAACCAATTGCGCATGCCAAGACACAATATTTTGGAAATCAAAAGACAACATAGTGTCCATAATGCCAGATTAAGAACCCCCAGGCATACATAATGTAAATAGTTCAGATGCACATAGCAGGTCATATAATGTGGAGCACAATGCAATACATACCGACCTAGGACATAAAAATAACAGGGGGGGAAATACGAAGATAGAAAAATAATTTATAGGGTGGGACAATACTCGCCTCCGTGTCTTTCATAAAATCATGACTTTTCATCATGAAATAGCAAAATCATGTAATTTTATGTCAAGACACGGAGGCTCATATTGCACGTTTAAAGCTGAGCAATAACCGAAGAGAAAACGTGTGTCGGAGGCCGAAAGTAAAATTCCCTGAAGGTGGATTCTCTGGACCAGTTCGCCATCCTCATCAGGTCTTCCAGGCGCGCTCCCGAAGATGCCATAGATGTGGCTGATGCCCCTCGTGTGAAGTGAGCGCTAAAGATGGATGTATCCACACCCGCCAGGGACATTACCCTTTTCACCCAACGAGCCAAGGTAGTGCTGGATACCGGGGCGAAGGGTTGACAAATCGAGAGAAAGAGCTGAGGGGACAATGCCGACCGATGGGCCTTCGTCTGAAGTTCATATTCTCTCAAACAAGTCACTGGGCATAACATCGGGGTAGTTGGAAAGCTCGGATGTGAGACTGAACGTATGGCCTTCTTAGTCCGTCTGGAGATGTTAAATGTCACCCCATCCTGGGTGAAAGACCTAGCATCATAATCCAGGGCCCGTACCTCCGAGACCTGTTTGCACGAAATGAGGCAGAACAGGGAAACCAATTTGTTGTAGGAGCCCCGTCCTGATCCACGGGCGTGGAAGTTTGGAAGCCCCTGAATCTGCCGGCCCTGGTAGAGACCCGTCCCTGAAATACCCTCTTCATAGAGGATTGGGCCTTGTCCAGGGCTGTGAAAGCACCCACAAAGCGCCCCAGATCCTTAATAAAGGATTCTCCAAATAACAGGCCTTGGGCATCTTTGAGGGTGAGGTTAGCCAATTTGGGCTTAATTTTAAAGAGGCTGGGTTTACGCCGCTCTATAGACAGGGAGGCGTTCACACTGCCTGCTATGCAGATCGCCCTCTGCACCCAGCCACGGAGTTCTTCCGGGTCAACCTGCCTGTTTTTAGCTCTGGCTAGTTCGGCCAGGTCAAATAATTTAGCCAAAGGACCAAAAATGTCCAGGTGTTTGTCCTGGCAGGACTGTAGCGCGGAATCCAAACCCTTGTGGGGATTCCAACCCATCTTGGAAAGAAACTGTAATTTTGGGGTCAACACAGACTTTACTGGAAATCAGGGGTCTAGGACATTCTGCCCTGAGTTTGTTGCACGCCACCTTGCTAAAGGGGCGCCGTACCCAGTTCTCAAGGTACTTTGCTACATGGGCGGCTGGGAGCTATTCTGCCGACCTCGGGTGATGGAGAGCATCCGAGTCAAACATAGGTTCCCCAGACGCATCCATGAGGGTGGAACCCGCGGCAACGGGGGAGTCGCTGCGAGAGCCACTCATTACCAACCCTGATAGGGCAGGGGCAAAAGGGTCAGTGTCCTGCCCGCCAGTCTCATCATTGGAGTCATCTACGGACTCAGCTGCAGCCTCCTCACAAGACCCGATATCTGAGTCAGAGTCGCTCTCTGTATGTGCTCTGGCAAATTTCCAGTGCCGCGCCCATTCTGCCTGGCATGGAAAGGCTCTCTTACGTGACATAGGCACGCTGTCATGGGTGGATATATTCATACCAGTCGTATTGGTTCTGGAGGCAGGGGGGCTTAAGTGTCTGGATTTGGCCGTAGCCTTTCTAGGAATGTCCTCTGTAGGGTTTAAAGCAGAACGCGCTAAGCGCGTCGTCGTGGCCGATCCCTCTGCGGGGCACAGGGCCAGTAAGGCCTGAGAAATAGTTTGGGAAAGAGCCGAGGACATGGATCCCATGGCGGCCATAATGGCGTCCGTAAAGGAGCGTTGCAGGGCCAGGGCTTGGGCATCATCAGGTACCGACATAGGGTCACCTGCAGAGGAAGGAAGGGCCAGAGCGGGCAGAGTTGGGGTTATCCAGCACATGGGGTACATCCATTTCCCCAGGGGAAAGTGGGGTGGCAGACCCTTTAGACTTGGGCATAATAAATAGCTGTGCGAATTTTATAGTGGTTTATAAATATAATATATGCTGCTGAAATGAATGTTAAGATTAAACTGACAGAGATAGCATCAACTAGCAGGAGTTAATCACCCCAGGCTAGCTATACCTTATAGGTGGGTAAAGTTAGGGAGCTCACCAGGGTCCAGACCGGCAGACAGGAAGAGGACACGAGGAATAGCAAAGAGACTGTGAGACACGATGTTAGAAAATGGCCGCCGGCAATCTCGCGAGATTCGCTGCAAAATTCTAACAATCGTTGAAAAAGAGCCGAACATTCGGCGGAAAGAAGCTAATTTGTGTGATAAAATAGATGAAAAACCATATAAGGGAAAACAGACGAATTAGCCGGCCGTTCGCATGAAAAAGTCGAATGCGGGTATAGGCGAACCAGATAGTGAATGAGGAAAACTAACGAATAGTAAGGTATTCGTGAGAATAGCCGAACGACATGATACAAACATGAAGAAACTGCCGAACGGAATGAAGAAAGACAGGCGCAAAGTGCGCCAAAGAGACAGGAGAAAGTGTAATGGAGGCATAAAAGCCTGAGAAATATAAGGAGAAAGGGAGGGAGTTCAAGTGGTAGGTGATTCAGAAAATAATGCCAATAGGGGTCTGGAACCCTGGGCTCAAGGATAACATACACAACAAAATCCACAATATGATAGAAGCATATTTAGAAACATAGCAATATGGAAAAACCAATAAGTAAACAATGAAACTGCAAGCAATAAGACAAATGAATGGTACAAGAAACCAACTGAGATGATGTCAATAATGCAAATAAAACAGTATACATAACCATTGGGAATGATAAGGAGAAAATTAGTCATGTACTTATTTGTTTGGTAGCAGCAAAGAAAGAGGAATTGTGTGGGGAGGTGTTGACTATTATACTGGGACTTGATATGGGAGTGGTCTATCACTATGGTTACCATTTTTTCTTACTGTTTGTATTCTTTGCTGCTATTGGTGGACAGTAAAGAAAGGGTTAAGCAATATGAGCCTCCGTGTCTTGACATAAAATTGTGGTTTTTGGCACACAAACTCATAAAAAAGAACTTCTCATGTGTATTTTGTAAAGTTGGTGTGTGCTATTCCTTTATTTTGTGTTCAGCTACATCTGCTGAGTACAACAATACCCCCATTCTATGTCTTTGGCACTATTTCGTGAAGTTACAGTGCCATATAGTAGACCTGTCCTTTTCAGTATTTACAGAAGACTTTTGAGAGACGGATTTAATGAGCCTATGCTTCAATTTGGGGTATTATAGCAGTTTGACTGTTCAAAAAAAACCCACAAAGGCCTACCATTTGTAAAAGTAGACCCTCCAGGGTATCGCAAATGGTGCATATTGTGCTTTAACATGCCCCCATTTTTTCACCAATATATGCCAAAGTATGTGTTAAAAAATAATTTTAGAAATTTTTTACATACGGATTACATTTTTGCTGGCATTTTGTATATTTCATATGTGCCACTAAGTTTAAACCCCCAAAATTATGCTCAGCTAAGTCTTCTGAGTAAAACAAAATGCCCAATGTATGACCTAGACACTATTTTGTGAAGTTACAGTGCTGTAAAGAAAAAGACGAGACCAGGTTTTTAAGTGTGA